CCCCTTCAGAGGAACCACCTAAGGGGGAACGGCTGCTGATTGCCGTCCCTCCCACCCGCCAGGACAGCTCACCCCTTCTTCCCCCTCGTATTCAGGGTAGTTTATTACCCATTTACTTATATGGATCGCTGCGGCCGATCGCCCAGGCGTGGGACACCCTCTTGGGAACTGTCCGCTCACGCTGGGCCCGGTCCGTGGTCGGGTGCCGCTCACGCATGCGCAGTCGCGGCTACGCATCGTGACGGCCATACTGTGAGTGGCAAAACTTTGCCGTGCTTTTCTCCCGGCTCGCGCAGCCCACTGAGGGGCGGCCGCAAGCTGATTGGACAGGGAGGCTGCCTGTCGGCTTACCCGTGCACCCCAGCGCCATTCCTGAGGGAACACTCGGTAAGCTGACAGCTCAGTATATTGTTCTGTGCCTTGCCTGCAGTTTCTTTTGCCTGTCACTACAGTGTATGATTTTAGACTGTTAAGTCTTGAACGCCAAAACTCTGTCTACTGTTATTTGGTCTGTTTGTCCTATTACCTGCTTAACTAGCTCCCTAGCATTGCCCCCACTCAAGCAGGGAGTGCCTCCAGGCACCCTTTAACTGCGGAGCGTGGACCCCAATCCAGCCAAGGGGAGGATATTACCCCTATGGAGCAACTTGATTCAGAGGAACTCCATTCCCTCTTGGACGCTACCATGACCCAGGCTATTTACTCCGCTATGGGGACAATGTCAGACACTATATCCCACTCCATTACTAACGCCATCAGGGCGTCTAACTGTAACACTGACGTGACCCAACCTAAGGCCTCTGAGAGTAAACCTATAGCGCCGAGCGGCCGTAAAGCCACCGCACGTGTGTGCGCATGCCTCCAAAACTGATTTTACGGACAGGTTGCGTCCTGTCAGCATTGAGGTCGTGGGGCCCCCACGAAAGAGAGCCACCTGCCGAGCAAAAAAGGCGCAGACATGTAAAAGGGCAAAAGCCCTATCAGACTCATCCGACTTGGATTCGGATTCAGAGGAGGCCTTGAACAAGCCCGATGACATCGGCTCCACTGATTCAGAGGTTTCCTCCACGGGCCACAGCCCGACACGCAAAACAGCCATACCCGCTGTAGATAACGCTGATACATCTGCTATCCTGCACCCACAAGGGGAACCCCTATTTGATCCCAATGAGTTACAAAAGCCAAAGTCGGCGGAATGGTTCCAGACCGATCACGTGGCATGCTATATAGCGGCCAGGAACAGGAAACCCTTGGACAAAGCCACGAGGAACAAACTGAGGGTGGAGTGCGGAGTGCCTCGCCCCACGGTCCCCGACATGGCCTGCGTCACGCACACCCTAAAGTGGCTCAATTTTTGGGGAAATCCGGCTGGAAGGCGAAAAAGGGGGCTTGACTACTCCTTACGTTACTGCCAGGACAAGGTACTAGACATGTTAGGCCCCAGTGCAAAAATATTTGAGATGGTCGAAGCGGCCCTAACTGATGGGACCCCAATTGATCTGCTGGCCATTAGGGGTTGGGTCCAGCGTTCAATATGCCTTATCGGCAACGCTAATGCAGCTCTGGCTATGGAGCGAAGGAAAGCCATCCTTATAAAAATCGAACCAAAACTAGTGAATATGTCCATGTCTGAGCCTGGGCAACAGGCAAAAGGTTTCTCTTCGGGGATACGTTCGTAAAAGAGCTGGGTACCTACGTCAGTACCTTTACAGCGTTAGACAAGGCACAAAGAAATTTAAAAAGAGTGTTCCCTCCCAAAATTTTTGGTAGGGCCGGCAGACACTGGGGCCGTCTGTCCGGCCGCTCTTCCCGAGGTTCATACCAAGGATATCGAGGCCCTGCCAAGACCAGATTTCAGCCTCCAGAGACCAAGCCCCCCTCGCCCTTCTTCCCAGTCAGGGGCAGATTGTGGCAAACACGAGGGACCAGGGGTGTCACATATGGCCGACGGCCTTATGGTAAGTGTACTACCATCCCATTCCCGTGTATGTCTATGGTGGGGGGGCAGACTGCCTCACTTTATAGTGGCCTGGCACACATTGACCACAGATACCTGGGTCCTAAATACGATCCTAGGGTACCAAATTGAATTTCTACAATACCCAATCCAAACATCCAGACCGCATCGGATAGCCTTCTCTGCACACGACAAGACCCTGGTGTGACAGACCCATCTGTCTGGATTAAAAGTACTGTGTTCGTCTGCTTTGCTGGTTACATGAATTTCCCCATTCGTATGCTTTGTTTAAGGGAATGTCGGTTTTTGTCGAACGAAACTACCGAACGGACGGCCACCCAGAAAAGAAGTGTGCTGCTGGTTAACATATTGATCCCCATTAGAACGTTGCGGTTAACCACAGACACTTCTCAATTAAAACCGAATGCCGGGTGGTCGTCGTTCGTATGTCGACCACGAGGCGGCGGCCATTTTAACCATGCGAAAGACCAGCGGTGTTCGACGATTATTTCATGGATATGAAAACGGACACTTTTTCAACCGAACACCGCTGAAGCCGTCGACCTCCCCTTCTCAATCGACAAAAGCGTACGAATGCCGGCCGTTCGGGAGATTCAACAACACGAATGGACTTAACCCAGATAGCCGTCCCATGGAGTCAATCGCATACCGAAGAACTGTAATAGACTTTGACTCCATGGCAATTGAACTATGCGAATGGGATCTGAGCGCTATTCGCCAATAATATGCACTCAGATCCAGGCTATCTGGGGATGTGTTATACGAATACAATATGTTCGGCAGTTATGAAGTTATAGATTTTTATGTGTTTTGTGACTTGTATTTAAAATGGCGATTTGCCTCTGCTAGGGGAGATAATTGAATTACTTCCCAATTATCCCTCGAGCAGAGGGGAGGGAACTGTGATGCATGATGGGAATATTGTGGGGATGTGTGTCCAAAATGTCCCCATGTCCTTCTGTCCTTTCAGTCTCCCATTTGGTCCCCTAGGGGAGTGTCCACCAAGTGGGAGACCTGCATAAATACCGGGCAGGTAGCCCACAGTAAATCAGTTCATGTTTTACCCTCAAAGCGGAGCTTGGTCTCGTTATTGGGGGGATTTGGTTACCAGCGACTAGAGACTGCTTATTTGGATTATTTGCCGCTTGGGAGATATTGTCGTTCGGTTACTAATTGCCGTTCGTGGATTTGCAGCTCGTGAAGGGAATTAGCCGTACAGGTACCGTTCGGGAGTTTGGAGTGTTCCCTGGCTGGCGGTTCGCATGGTTTTATTATACCCGCTACCAGACCACATTATTGCGAACGGGGAATACTCGCTAAACGGCGGTTTGTACATTTTATTACTGGAGGTACCGTAACAACTGGTGGCAAGCGACGGGATGATCCTCAGCGCCCAAAGAGACCACTACAACCAGGATTAAATGGAATTACAATACCAGAACCTGAGAAGAGCTACCCTAAAGGATTTATTAGAGCAAAGAGGCGGACAAGCCAGTAACCTCAGGAAGAGGGATATTATTGCACTATTGCTGGAAATGGATGGAGTACCAGCGGCAGAGGGAACCAATGGACCCAGCACAGCTGACAGAACCCCCGAGGAGGCAAGCTTTGACCGGGTTGTAAGAATCAGGCTGGCCCATTATGGTCCCAACCCAACTACAGAGATCATCACCCAGGTCATAGCCACTGTGGAGGCCAACCTGCTACGCCAAAGCGGTGCTGCAGCAGCCCCAGTCACAGCAAACCTGGGGGAAAGAAAGAAGGTGCCGTTTACTGCGTTTAAAACCTTCAGTGAGACAGAAGGAGAGATTGATAGGTACCTTGCTGATTTTGAGCGGCAATGTGCCCTGCACAAGGTACCCCTGGAAGACTGGGTTACTATATTGTCCGGCAAGTTATCCGGCCGGGCCAGCGAGGCGTTTCGGGCCATCCCTGATGAGGAGATTGGGGATTATGGGGCCGTCAGGGAAGCTTTACTCTCCCGGTATGCCGTTACACCTGAGGCGTACCGGAGGAGGTTCCGAGGCACTGTCAAGACCTCTGGGGACTCATACGTAGAGTGGGCATGTAAGGTGCATCGCACAGCCGCCCACTGGATGGCGGGGTGCCAGGCTGTGTCCGGAGAAGAGGTGCTACAGATGTTTCTTTTGGAACATTGTTTTGACAAATTACCAGCAGGGGTCAGAGAGTGGGTAAGGGACCGTAAACCCTCCACTCTGCATGAAGCAGCTCGCCTGGCGGATGAATATACCGACGCCCGCAAACTGGACAGTCTCATTAGCAAGGCGCCCGCCAGAGTGGAGTACAGGCCAGAAGCACCAACAGCAGCCAACCTATACCAGCCTCCAATGAATCGCCCATCAGCACCTCCTCCATCTGCCCCGTACCAACAGCCACCTCGGTTTAATGCACGAGAGTACACTCAACCCATTCGGTGCTACCTGTGCAAGCAGCTAGGGCACAAGCGACCCGAGTCCCCGATGAACAGCGCCAACCAGAACCAGTCCTGGAGGAGACCAGCAGGCGGCAATCCACGACCTCCCCTCCCAGCCGCGCACTGTGTAGAGGAAGAGGAGTGCTGGGGCATCCTGCATTAGGCAGACCCCGTTCAGGCTGCCCACCGGGATAACAGACAGCACCACCGACAGTGTGTGAAAGTAAACGGGAAGGAGGTCAGCGGTCTACGGGATACCGGGGCAACCATGACTTTGCTCCAGAAGCACCTGGTATCCGAAGCCCAACATACCGGGGACACGGTAGCAGTACGAGTAGCCGGGGGTGCCGTGTTTCGTCTACCCGTTGCCGGGTGCATTTGGATTGGGGAGTGGGCGCTAGACATGTGAATGTGGGGGTCATGAAGGACTTACCCACGGATGTCCTCCTTGGCAATGACTTGGCACCCCTTGTTTCAGCCTTTCCTCCCATTGTTCCCGCTGAAGTGGAGGCTGTCACGACTCATGCCCAGACCCGTGCCGCTGAGACCGGCCCACCTGCTGCTGAGACCCAGGTAAGACTCTCTACCCCGACTTGTACCTTAGACCAGGCCCCTTTAGGCTGGGATACCCCAGAGATGTACGGGAAGGAAACCAGGGAAGACCCGACGCTAGCAAAGTACAGGGCCAGGGCCGATTCTGGGGGAGAAGGAGTAGACGGGGAGCACTACGAGTGGGTGGGGGATAGACTGTACAGGATCCCGAAACCATCCCAGAAGCCGAGTACCCCTCCGCAGAATCGACAGCTAGTGGTACCTGCCAAATACCGGCAGGAGATTCTGCGGATTGGGCATGATGTGCCATTAGCAGGCCATCTAGGTTCCCGCCGCACAGCTCATAGGATCACACAAAACTTCTTCTGGCCCAATTTTAACCGAGATGTGCGGGTTTACTGTAGCACGTGTGACACCTGTCAACGGTTAGGTAAGCGGGGGGATCACCCAAAAGCTAGGCTTCAGTCGATGACTATCATTGGAGAACCCTTTTCCCGCATAGCCGTTGACATTGTGGGTCCACTGGCCAGGGCTAGCCCATCAGGTAAGAAGTATATTCTCACCGTGGTGGACTATGCCACACGTTATCCAGAGGCAGTAGCGCTGTCTAATATAGAGGCAGAGACGGTTGCTGATGCCCTGGTTAAAATTTTCACTAGGGTCGGGTTCCCTCAAGAGATTCTCTCCGATCAGGGAACCCAGTTCACCGCTGTGCTTACCCAGCAGCTGTGGAAGGTGTGCGGTATTAAACCTCTGCTTAGTTCACCGTATCACCCACAGACTAACGGTCTCTGCGAGCGATTTAATGGCACCCTCAAACAGATGTTGAGGACCTTTACTGACACTTGCAGAGACTGGGAGCGATTTCTGCCTCATCTGCTATTTGCATACAGAGAGGTGCCCCAGGAATCTACTGGGTTCTCCCCCTTTGAGTTACTCTATGGGAGAAGGGTCCGTGGACCCCTAGATCTCATTAGAGGACACTGGGAGGGGGAGACAGAGCAAGAAGGGACCCCCATAGTACCATATGTCCTGGAACTCCGGGACCGCATGGAGAAACTATCCCTGATGGTAAGGGAGAATCTCCAGGTGGCCCAGGGGAGACAGAAACGGTGGTACGATCGGGGTGCCCGACAGCGGGTCTTCCAGGTTGGGCAGAAGGTTCTGGTGCTCAAGCCTGTGAAGACGAACAAGATGCAAGCATCTTGGCAGGGCCCGTATAAAGTGTTAGCTCAGGTATGTGATACTACCTACCTTATAGCCAGCTGTTCAGATGAAAGGATTCAGCGATCCTTCCATGTGAACATGCTGAAGGAGTATCAGGAACGACCAGAGGATGTTGCGGCAGTATGTGCCCCAGCTACTGACGACCCCGAGAACTTACCTTTACCTGACTTGTTAGAGAGGGATCCTCAGACAGACCTTACTAGTCTTGTACAGCTGGGGGACCGGCTAAACCCGGCAGAGAAGGTACAGGCGAGACAGTTACTGTGGGAGAAGCAGGCGACGTTCTCCCAAGAACCCGGGTACACTACCCTAGCTGTACACAAGGTCGAGACACCCGGACAGAACCCCCTACGACAACCCCCCTACCGTATCCCTGAAGCAGTCCGAGAAGGAATGCGGAAGGAGATACAGGAGATGACCCGGCTGGGGGTTATCGAACACTCAGACAGCCCTTGGGCTTCGCCTGTAGTTCTGGTGCCTAAGAAAGATGGGACCACCCGGTTCTGTGTGGACTACAGGCGGCTCAACGAGCGGACCACCACTGACGCCTACCCTATGCCTCGGGTAGACGAGTTATTAGACCGTATTGCCAGGGGGCGCTACCTGACCACCATTGACCTGTGTAAAGGTTATTGGCAGATCCCCCTGGCCGAGGATGCTATCCCTAAGTCGGCATTCATCACCCCATTTGGCCTGTACCAGTTTAAGGTTATGCCATTTGGGATGAAGAATGCTCTGGCTACTTTCCAGCGTATGGTGGATAGGCTCCTCGATGGCTTCCAGGACTTTGCATGTGCATACCTGGATGACATTGCGGTCTACAGTGAGACCTGGGAAGACCACTTAGTACACGTGGGGGTGGTGCTGGACAAGATTCGGGCCGCAGGCCTGACCTTGAAGCCAGACAAGTGCCATCTAGGCATGGCAGAAGTGCAGTACTTGGGTCACAGGGTAGGATGTGGAAACCAGAGACCGGAGCCAGCCAAGGTAGAGGCTGTAGCTAACTGGCCCACACCTATCACCAAGACCCAAGTGCTGGCCTTCCTGGGGACAGCAGGGTATTACCGACGTTTTGTCCCCGACTACAGTACGGTTGCTAAGCCCTTGACTGACCTGACTAAGAAGAATTTGCCTAAGCAGGTCCTGTGGTCTCCAGCTTGTGAAGCCGCGTTTCAAGCACTTAAGCAGGCTCTTGTGAATGCCCCTGTCCTGGCTGCCCCAGTCCCTAACAAACGTTTTCTTGTTCATACAGATGCTTCCATGTATGGACTGGGGGCTGTACTAAGCCAGGTCGGGGAAGATGGAGGAGAGCACCCTGTCGCATACTTAAGCAGAAAGTTACTACCTCGGGAAGTGAGTTATGCGGCAGTGGAGAAAGAGTGTTTAGCCCTGGTCTGGGCACTGAAGAAATTGAGCCCTTATTTGTACGGGCAGGAGTTTTCCCTTATAACGGACCACAACCCCCTTGTCTGGCTTAACCGGGTCTCAGGAGACAATGGCAAACTGCTGAGGTGGAGTTTGGCACTGCAGCCTTACAACTTCACCATCAGCTACCGACCCGGTAAGCAGAATGGGAATGCGGATGGGTTGTCCCGGCAAACAGACGTCCCTACTTCTTCCCAGTCCGGTCATCCCCAAGTTGACCCGCCAAAGGGTCAATCCGGGTCTGCCGGAGTGTTCCACAAGGGGGGAGCCTGTGACAGACCCATCTGTCTGGATTAAAAGTACTGTGTTCGTCTGCTTTGCCGGTTACATGAATTTCCCCATTCGAATGCTTTGTTTAAGGGAATGTCGGTTTTTGTCGAACGAAACTACCGAACGGACGGCCACCCAGAAGAGAAGTGTGCTGCTGGTTAACATATTGATCCTCATTAGAACGTTGCGGTTAACCACAGACACTTCTCAATTAAAACTGAATGCCGGGTGGTCGTCGTTCGTATGTCGACCACGAGGCGGCGGCCATTTTAACCATGCGAAAGACCAGCGGTGTTCGACGATTATTTCATGGATCTGAAAACGGACACTTTTTCAACCTGTGATCCTGGTCTGCAGGCAGTGGCGTCTCTAGGATTCATTTTTCGGGGGGGCACACGGAGGGCCAGTGACAAAAGTAGGGGGGCACATTTAACCCCGCCCTCGTCGCAGTTTGACCCCGCCCCTGTTGCATGTTAAGCCACGCCCCCGACACAATGTGTTTTTTTTTTTTTAATAATACCTGGTGGAGGATTCATTATTTTCTACCAGGGATTATTAAAAAAAACAAACACATTTCCCTTGATACAGTGCCATAGTTGCCAACATTTGAAAAAAAATTTCCAAGGACATTTTGCAGCACAGCTATCAATTACTGTCTGGGTATAATATCCCTGGACAGTCAGTGCTCTCTGTATAATACAGGGTTGTGTGTATAATAAATTGGGACACTCAGTGCTCCCTGTATAGTGCTGCTCTCTGTATAATACAGGTCTGTTTGTGTATAATATCCCAAGACAGAGAGCAGCACTATACAGGAAGCACTGACTATCCCGGGATATTTTATACACACAGATCTGTATTATACAGATAGCTGAGCATATACCCCAATCTCTAGACTACTAGTACCTGTCAACAGCAGCTCCCAGGCGCGTGTAACAGGGCTAAAGTGTGCGGCAGCTCACACAGATTATTCAGCGGTAAAGTGCACTCGCTGGCAGAGCCAAACTGGGAATCCCTGGGAATCCAAAGCACCCCTGGAAAAAAAAACGTATGCCATTCCTACAAGTCAAAATAAATAAATATATATATAGTACAGTGAACACACAAGCTCACTGACATGCGCAAATAGGCTTACTGACAGACAAAACTCTCTGACTCACACACAAGCTTACTACAGACACTCACTTGTATAAACAGAAGGCTCACTACAAAGAAGTTCAGGGACACACACACAAGCTCACTAAAGACAAGCTAACTGACACACACATGCTCACTAAATAGAAGCTCACACCCCATCATCATCACAAGCAGTACCATTTGAGTTAAGGGCCCCTTGGGCAGCAATGCACTGGGGCCCCTTCCTAACAACAACAACCCTCACACAGGAATTTTAATTATTGATAGACTGAGTCCACACACACACACAGACCGCTGAGTCCATACACACACACACACACACACACACAGACCGCTGAGTCCATACACACACACACACACACACACACACAGACCGTTGAGTCCATACACACACACACACACACTGCTGAGTCCGTACACACACAGACTGCTGAGTCCATACACACAAACACACACAGACTGATGAGTCCGTACACACACACAGACTCTGCTGAGTCCGTACACACACAGACTGCTGAGTCCATACACACACACACACTCTGCTGAGTCCATACACACAAACACACACAGACTGATGAGTCCATACACACCCACAGACGCTGCTGAGTCCATACACACCCACAGGCTCTGCTGAGTCCATACACACACACA